TAAAGTAGGTACAACGAGGCCACTTTCTGAGATTAAGTCAAATATTGTCACATGCTGAGCGCAGCATCTGGCATATAGAAGTCACTCTCGTTACAGCAATCATACTAGTTAGCTTTTATAGTAACCACACTATCACTTGTTAATACTAATATTTATTAGGCAAGAAATATATAATACAGAATAAATGCATCTATGCCACTAATGATCAGCTAGAAAAATGTTCTTCATAAGTAAGCAAGCAAAACTGTAAATCGCACAGAATGTGCCTTCGTAAGAGATAGGAGAGATGGAATATAAGGACCTTAAATCTTTTGGAGGTTAAAGAAAGGAATACTAAATGGGTGGGAGGGTAAGTCATGTGCCTGGAGGAGAGCTAAACGTTTGCAAAGTAAGTAAAATAAAGGTCTATGAGCTGTAAAACAAAGGGGGTTAAAAAAAACCCAAAAAACAAAGGGGGTGGCTCATCTGAATCCACAATTAAAGTTCTGTACAAAATGGGATAAATTTCAAGTGAAGGCTCGGTGAGACTGAGGAATAAATTTCAAGATTAATTGGTTTCTAGACTGGGATATAAATTCAAAACTCCTGACTTCCCATCCAGTTGCTCCTTCCATTTTCTACCCTGAATTTCTATTCCTAGACTATTAACAAATATCTGACAATAGAAATAAGAGAAAAACTAACCCTGCTGCACATCATTAAAGCATTCTTGAGCTCTTTATTGTTCATTCAGGAGCACACTGCAACTTCTCTTGCCTTTTGAATTATGCTCTTCGTTATTTTCTATATGCTACTTCTGGAGGTATTAAAATATTTCAAGTTTGTATAACTAGAAAATCTTACTTTTAGTTTTCAAAGGTATGTTTGCTAAGTATGAAATTCAAAGAGGACAGATCTTTTCTTTCAGTCCTGTAATTAGTCTAGTTTCTTACACACTTGGTCCTATTTTTTCTTTCTAATATGGAATAAGATGCTATTTAATTTTGTTCTTCCATAGCTAATATTTTTATGCATATGTTTTAATGATTTTTTCTTTACAATACGTTTTGGACAATTTCATTTTTGTGTATCTTGGTATGATTTTATTTAAATTTCTTGTGCAAAAGGTTCATTTTTCTTGGAATTGCGGCATTATAAGTTGAACTAAACTCAGAAATTTTAAATCTTTATATAATTATTGCCTACTCCTTTCTACTTTGAGAATTCTAGTTATATGAATATAAGTTTCTTGGTTTTGACACAGTGAACTATTATGACTGATCTGTAAACT